CGACGCTCTTCCGATCTCCCCAAAACCCCAAAACCCCGCCTAAAAACATTTGAAAAAATATGTAAAAATCAATAATTAATAAGATATAATCATTAAAATAAAGTTACAAGAGCAGAGAGATTAAAAGATATGACAAAGAAATAAGCCAATAAGAAGCAAACATTAAAAGTTAAACAGAAAATAGAGAGAAGGACAACCAGATCAACTTAGATTACTGTAGAGGCCAAGGCTTTGGTGAAGAAAACAAATACTGGAACGAAAATTAAGCAAACTCAAAAGAAAATTTTAGCAAAGTCAAAGCCTAAATAAAAGCTACCAATCAGAAAAGTTGCAACTGGTCAGATAAATAAAAGAGTCTTGCAAAACAAATAGAATCCAAAGGTTAAGACGAAGAAGGCTGCGAAAACTAAGGTAATCAAGAAGCCAAAGGCACCCAAAAGAAAATAACTCGTAGTGGTTAATGAAGCAAAGCAAAAAAGACTTGAGGAAAAAATAATGAAGTAAGCCCAAAGGGATGCTTTAAAGTAATAAAAGATGGCAGCTAAATTAAACAAAGCTAAAAATTTCGCTATTGAACCAAGGCCTGATTTGCCTGAGATCTAGGTTAATCCAATTCTGACCCCTCCTGAAAATATTTAAGGGTTAAATGATGCGAAGAAAGGTAAAAAGATTGAAGCAAAGCCAAATAGATTATATGATCTTGCTGATTGTTGTATCTTTTGTAATAACCGAGAGATAATATAATGCGTCAGATATGGCGATATTGAGGGATTTAAGAAACTTTTGTATTAAGTTGACAGAATCAGTAACCCGTTTTAAAGCTACTCTATAGATTGTCAAACAAACATATTTAAGGAAGCAGTAGAGTCTAGAAATGAGGAAATATTGGGAATCTTCCTAGATTTCATTAAGTAGCAGGAGACAAATCCATTACAAAGAGTTAAATTACCCTCAGTAAATCTTGATTACATGGGTTCAGGAACCCCTAATAAACTTCAGTTCTATTTCCCAATTAGACATGTCAATCTCAGCAGAGGAGGCAAAGAAGGGAATAACGCTTTTACTCATGATAAAAAACTGAGAAAGTATGTACAAATCGACTTCAATGATATACTTACAATGAATCTCTCAAGACGTACTCTTGAATTAGTGGATTCCTAATTAATTGCATAGCTTAAAAATTTTGGGGAATTTCAGATAATATTTAGCAAAATAGTAAGAGGTGGTAACTTTGAATTAGTAAAGTTTATTATTGAGAAAGCTAGTAATTTCTATGGACTAGGAATGAATGCACTTCATAAAGCTGCTCTCTTGTAAGGAGATAATGCAATAAATGTAAAGGGAATTTTGAAATCTCGACTACAGAAAAAACTCTAGGATTAGTTATAAATAACTCCAATGCATATTGCTGCTGTTAACCCTGATCCAACTATTTTTAAAGCTTTCTATAAATTTCATCCATCATCAAACATAAGTGATTTAGAATAAAGAGATGTTGCGCATTATGCTGCTGCAAATCAATGTTCTGACACATTAGAATTCTTAATTCAAAAGAGATGCGATGTTAACAATTGTAAGCTAAATTATTGACTAATTAATTAATATAGCTGATATTGATGGCAACACTCCATTAATAATTGCCTCAACTCTTGGAAGACTTGATAATGTCAAAGTATTGATTTAAGAGCAACAAAGATTAATATCTACACTAGACCAGGAAGCAGATGACTATATATAAAGTGCAGCATTTAACAATTTCGCAAATCATCAAGGAAAGGGAAAGAATACTCCATTACATTTTGCTTCGAGCAAAGGTCATTTGGAGATTGTCAAAGTGCTGATTGAGGAAGGTAACTCTTAAGTAGATCAGAAAAATACAAAATGCCAAACCTCTCTATGTTTAGCTGCCTAATAAGGTCATCTAAAAGTAGTTGAATATTTGGTATCCAAAGGAGCAAACTTGCATGGTCTAGATAAGCAAGGAAAGTCACCACTGATTCATGCAATAATTAATGGTCATCTCCATATAGTAAGTTTTTTGCTAAGATAAGGTGTCAGCCCTAATTACAAGGATGCTTCTGAAAATAGTATTTTGCATTATGCTTGTGCTTATGGATGGATAAACATTGTGAGATACTTGGTTGATGCAGGTGCAGATCCTAACTCCACTAATGAGTGGAAGATGTATCCAGTTCTGGTGGCTATGCTCAAAGGTCATTTTGGAATCGTTGACTATATGATAAATTTAAAAAATTTAGATGCATCTTTCCAAGATGATACAGGGAAAACATTAATTTCATAGCTTTGTATAAACATCAATGAAGAAACAGCTAATAATCTTAAATTTTTACTATAAAAAGGTAAAATTGATCCAACTTTAGTAGACTCCTAGGGATTCTCTCCACTTCATCACTTAGCTGTAAATAATTTATCTAGCATAACTACAGAATTAATTAAAAACAAAGCTCCTTAGACAAAACAAAAGGCTCGGTATATCATTAAAAACGGAAAGAAAATAAAAAAATCTTCCCATAATAGATATAGAGGACATATTTATGGGCAACTTGTATATCCTGGTTATTTCCCTGAAGAAAAAGATCGAAAGGAGTATTAGATCAAGCTGGCTGAGCTTTAAGAAGTGATGATCTAATGTGCAGAACTACTCGCAAAGGCAGGAGTCTCAGTATCTTAATAAGCATAATTAGGCAATATTACTCCAACCTACCAAGCTATTGCCAATGGCAATCTTTAACTAGCCTAGTGGTTATTGTCAAAAGACCCAAATGCAATTCAAGGTATTACAGAGAGGTAGCAGTTGAATATTCTTCATATTGCTGCACTTGATCCTTTTAGTTCAGACATTAACATTCTAAACTTTCTTTTGAAGGGAAACAAAAACGAGCTCATTAAAATGTCATTAGACTATAATGGAGAGGGACTATAGCCTTATCATAATTACTTTGTGTCTGCAAGAGATTTTATTAAGAGAATGACTGCTTACATGCAAAATGAAGAGTAAAAGAAATACATTCGGACACACATAATTTCTAATATTCAAAAAGTATTGACTGAAGTCACTTAAATTTATGCTAATGAACTCAACTATGATATAACTTCATATACAGGAGTTGTGAGTGAAAGAATGGATAAATTAGCATTACTTTTAAAAAATAAGGTTATTGACTAGGATGAATTTGATAGGATAAAGTTCATGCGCTTCTATGAATTGTAACTCAATCCTAAATCTGAGGATATTTAGATGAAAGATGCTCATCAAGTTTAAAAGGAAAAAGATTTTACTAAGAACGACTTGCTTGATAAAGTTAAGGACAAAGAGGAGGCTATTGGTCTATATTAATTCAAAGAGAAAAACTATACTATGAATTTCAATCATCAACTCATGTATGAAAGAAGCCACAGATACACAAAAATAGTCGAGGATACTCAAGAATGGGAATTGAATCCGATCGACTTTTACATGGATTTTAGAACAATGGATACAGTTTTAAATTTGCTTTTGGACACCATTGGATCCTTAAATGACAAAGAAGATCATAAACCTTTCCTTGAAATTTAAAAGACAGTTTTAAAAACAGCTAAAAAATAAGAAAAGAAAAATAGTAATGTCCCTATGCAGTATCGAGGATTTAATAAACCTAACCACTGTAATCAATCTGTTATGGCAAAAGCAATTATAAAAAGTTAATTAGAATTCATAAAAGTTTTGATTGAGGCTGATTGTTTAGACTACAATCTTCAGTCCCCAAACAAGAAATTATCAATCTTGCATCATTTGAGTGCAGTCTAAGATAAAGAAATTATTGAGCAAGCTTTGAAAACTAAACGAAAGTTGTTTGTCAATTAAAAAGATGCTCATGGAAATACCCCTTTACATTATGCTGCTTTCTACCGTAATCAAAATTATATTAAACTGCTACTTGACCATCTTTTAGCTGAACCAAACTCTTAAAATAATTATGGCTACACACCATTGCATATGAGTCTATTTGCGTTCGATGAAAGCAAAGATCACACTCCTACTGTTGAGAAAGTTTTAATGGAATTTGGAGCTGATTTGAATATCGAGGATCATAACAAGAGAACTCCGTTATTCTTATTGTTTTTCAAGCTAAAGCCTATTTTAGTACATGGTAACAAAGCAAATGATGATCCTGCTAGTATTACTATATTGCTATGCAAAAGTGGAAAAATTAAGGACATCAATCACAAAGATAGATTTTAAAACACAGCTTTGCATTATGCATGCGCCAGAGGTTCAACTATTTCTGCATTGACACTAATAAATCTAGGGGCTAATCTTGATACTAAGAATTACATTAATAATACTCCATTCTGTGAGGCTCTCTCTCATAATCAATCAGAGTTATGCATATTCCTAATCTAAAATGGTTGTAATCTAGATATTGAAGTTTAAGAAACTGTCAAAAAGCCATCAGAGATAAAACTAGATTAAAAAATTAAGAAAATGCTACCTCCTGCTGAACTCCTTAAGTAAATTTTAAATTCAAAAGAAGAATATTAATCAGACTTTGATTTTATTTAGAAAAATTACAGTTTCAAGAAGCATACCCCAATTCACTATGCCTTTAAACATAACTAAAACGGAATGAGTTATCTCTTACTCTCTAAGAATGTCGATATGTTTTAAGTTTTAAGAGATAGCTTACTTAATCAAAAGTATGAGAAGTTTGTTTACTATCTAGAAAACTCTGACAACGTGAATATTAAGTAAACTGATGAAAAAGGTCGTAACTTACTTTAAATCTATATTAAAAATATTTGCGGAGCACTTACTCCAAGATAAGAAGAAATAAAAAATCTTTTAATCAAGGATTACAAGATGTCTTTGCTGATATAGGATAAAAAAGGAAAAAATATTCTTCATCATTGCAACGAAAATATTGATAAATTTAAATCGATTTGGAATAACTTGTCCTAATAAAATAAAGATTTATTACTGACACAAAAAGAAAACAAGAGATAAGCTAATCCAATTGTACATCTTTTCCTAAAATAAGATATCTTTTCCTTTAATCAAGCATAAAATTTAGACTTCTTTAAAAGTATTCCTTGGGCAAAACTTGATCTCACTTATACAGCTTTGAACAAAAATGACTTTAAAAAAAAAGATGTTAACTACATTTTCATAAGTGATTAATATCCTATAGATGAACCTTAGGATCCTTATTAAACCAATCTCGCATTTCAAATAGTGAAATAAATTAAATAAAGTAACAACTAATCAACTTAAATAAAAGTTGAGATCTTGCAGCTATTGATAAAATCAGGTATTAATTTCAACGTAGAGAGATAATTCAAAAACTAGACAGTATTTCAATATTGTATACTTATAAATGCTTTGGATGTTATTAAAGCCCTATTAGGCTATGAATATATTGATGGCTAATTTACTCTAAAGGATAATGTGAAGCCTTATGTAAATCTTAAAGCGGATAGTGATGGCAAAAATTATTTGATTCATGCTATTAAACCTTTCAAATAAGGAACTCTTTAAAATATTCAAGTAATAGACTTACTTTTGAAAGCCAAAATTGACCCTCTTCAAAAAGATAAATAGGGATTAAATGCTTTTGATTACGCCAGCAGCAATTAATCAGTTTATGAGTTGCTACTTTAGCATTATCCAAACGGTAAACCAAACAAAAAGTAAACTAATTTTATGAAGCAAGGACTTCAGATTGAGACTTTAATTGATTAGAAGGGTGATCATATTATTTATGCCAACTAGAAGTATTAATATGAAGAGGACGCTGAAAAATATTTGGAATAAATTAAAGCTAAATAACTTGATAAGCAAATGAATGTGGACTAAAACAATCAATAAGACAAAGATAGATTCTTCTTAGAACCTGATGAAACAGGTAAATTTGAAAATTGTGATGTCGTAAAAGATGATAGTACAGATAAATTCTTTGATGTAGCCTTGACTAAAATAGATGTAAAGAAATAGTTTTATGGCATATGCAACTTTTATGTAATCCAAATTCTGAGGGATAAAGTAAAGCAGATATATATTTTATGGACAAGATGGGGAAGAATAGGAGATACTGGTTAATACCAAAGAACTCCTTACAAGACTCTAGAAGAAGCAACAAAGGAATTCAAAAAGGTATTTAAACAAAAAACTGGCAATGCTTGGCAAGATTTTGATAATAGTTATCAACCTATAAAATTAAAGTATAAGGTCAAAAGAATTAGTGGAAAAATCATTTATCACAGGAAGCAGGATAATAGTATTCATTATTCCTTAAGATAAATTTAAGATTAAGACTGGATTGTAATTCCAGATACTCTCTAGTCAGTACCATCAAAACTAACAGAAGATTAATTGAAGTTTATCAAACCATTGGTTGACTAAACAGTTAAGGTTAAATCTTTTAGAAAAGAATAGTAAAATAATAATCAAAAAGTAAGCAATCTCTTCTAAGAAGTATTCTTAGATAGAGAGGCTCTCAATGAGATGAAGAATACTTTAGAAAAGATGCATGAGCTTATAAAAGAAAAAGAGAAAGTTTAAAGATCAAGAAACTTTGCTGAATTCTAAGCATTAGAAGAAGAACTATTTGAACTTTCCAATTAGTACTATGAGATATGTTGTCCAACATTATTTGCTTAGCAGAAAGCCTCAAGCATATAATGGATTCATAATGTGTTATCCTAATTTAAGGTAGTATAACAGCTCTATGACATTGAACATGTGTCCAAATTACTGTTTGCTGCTGCTTATCGGTCAAAAGAGATTAATCCATATGATTACTGCTTCCAATACATGAATGTTAAGCTAGAATCTTTGGATTACAAAAGTGATGAGTATAAGCTGTTAGCCAAGTATATTAATAATTCTCTAGGTGATCGTGATCTAAATACTGATTTCTTGGCTATAGAAAATATTTTCTCGGCAAAGCCAAAAAATGTAGAAAAGTTCTCAAAGATATAATAAGATGATTCAGACAAAACATTCAATTCAATTCATAATCATATCTTATTGTTCCACGGTACCAACAATGCTAATATTTTGAACATCATTGAGTAAGGACTTTTGATTAGACCCATCTAATCAGTAACTGCTAATGGTTAATCATTGGGTGCAGGCATCTATTTGGCTGACAAGGCCAGTAAATCCCTTGGTGTAAGTTTGTTTTAGCTAACTTTATAGTATTGTGAAATGAATGATGATCATGCTTATCTATTGATAGTTGAAGCTGCTCTTGGCAATGTCCTTAACATTTAAGCTGTAAGAATCTTATAACATAATTCTGTCAATAGTACTATAGCTATGAAAAAGATAAGCTTCCAATGGGGTATCATAGTGTGAGAGCTATGGGTAGCATTGGACCTGACTTCAATTAAAACCTAGTCAGAGAAGATGGAGTAATAATACCAATCGGGAAAGTCGCAATTTATGAAAGTCCAGTCTTCAAAATCAAGGAGAAGTGCCTTTCGAATGTTCAAGAAGCATTGGACTATCAAGATAAATTACTTGAAGAAAAGAAAAAGTAAGAAAAAGAGGCAGAAGAGGAAAAAAAAGAGCTCATTAATAATAATCAGAAAAATGTAAAGGGCAAAGGCAAGGCCAAATAAAATAGTAAAAAGGAGGAGGTAAAAGGCAAGAAGCAGCAAGATGAGGATGTAGTGATGATTGATACATCCACTAAGAAAAAAGGTGAAGAAGCTGCTGATGCTGGAAATCAGTAAAATGCTCAAGCAGCTATTGCTAAGCCAAAGGAACAGAGGAATGTAGTTGAAGCATATTTAGATGATCCTAGCAAGAGAGAGCATAGAATTCAACCCAACTTGGTGAGTTATAGAGAGATTAGAAATGACTATGAAAGATAATAATCTATGAACTACTACTTTACCGACTCTGAATATGTCATTTACAATCCTGACTAGATTAGAGTCAGATATATTGTTCAGATCAACACATACAAGAAGAATGGGGAGAAACCAATTAAGACTTTTGAGGACTCTCTTGAATGATTATTAATTCAGTTATTTCAATGATATAAGTACTCAGGATAAATATGAGTGATTTTTATTAAAACAATTGATTTCATAATTCTATTCGCCTTAAATTCGCACTTAAGGGGTTTTGGGGTTTTGGGGAGATCGGAAGAGCGTCGTGTAG